GGGGGGGGGGGGGGGGGGGGGGGGGCTGATTTGACGCTGCGGTGATTTTAACCTCGTTGAGGTGAGTATAGTCTTCCTACCTTTGTAGCGGTAATGTTTCTTCGCGCTGAGCTATGAAGAAAACGAGAGTGTGTCGCGTGCCGCAGATATATATAGAGAGATTCACAGCACTCGCGTGCCGTAAGGTATGGAGCTGTGCCCGTCCACTTATTGAAGCACTATGTGTGCTCATTGCCTTAACAGCTGGGTTCGCACGTCCCAAGGAAGATCTGTGCAAGTCAAGAGCGAGTTGACATACCAAACGCAACAGAGGGGTACATACAAAATGCTGATACGCAGCCACAGGTGCGGAGCGTCCGCCTTGTCGAATAAGTTTGTGGATCACTGACGTACAGCAGCAACGCTTTCCCAACCGGGGTTGGACGAGAGCGCGAGACAGCAGCGTAGAGGGCAATCTCCGCTGTGATTGCAACATCTAGACTCGGAACTTACCGGCCAGCGAGCCTTCAAAAACACCGCAGACGACCTCACCCGGCTACCCCTTTCCCTCCTCGCCACGCTCAGGTCTGTACGGTGGTAAAAAACATGTTGCATAGCAAGCACGATTGAAAGGCGACCCCCCGTAAATTCCGCATCCGCACGCATGCGCGGCAGCAGTACACTCAGCTCACCATCAGCAGCACGGCATCCTTCGCGCCGCGCACTCTGCAGGCCTCACCCTGCCCGGCCGCCCCGAGCTGCAGCTGCGTGAGCCCCTCCTGCCACGCCTCCGCGAACGCGTCGGCGACCGGCTTGTCGGGGTCCTTGCTCGCCACGAACGCCACGGGCAGGACCTGGTTCCACCCGCTGGCGGCGAAGCCGCCGCCGCCAGAAGCGCCCTCTTCCTTAACTCCGCCCGTCGCCGCCTTGCCGCCGGGAGCTCCGAGCTGCCCGCCGGCCCTGCGACACAGGTCGCCCAGCAGGAGGGCCAGGGTCCGCCTCTGGCGCTTGTCGAAGTCCGGGTCGGCCTCCCTGAAGAGCTGGGCGAGGCGGCTGGCCAGGCGCGACACCCCCGCCGCCGGCGCGAGCCTCGCCACCGAGGACAGCGCCGATGAGTACGTCCGGCGCAGGGTGGAGCTGCGCTCCGAGAGGGCTGTGTTGGTCAGGGTCGGCAGCAGGCGGGGCGCGGCGCGGTGGATCTCCAGCGGCGCGCGCTCGCAGAGGGAGAGGACGAGGTACGCGGACGCGGAGCGAGTGGCCTGCCCAAAGAGCGAGGCAACAAGGCCATAAGGTGCACGAGATCGGTATCTACAGTGAAAAAAAGATGAGTAAAGACAGGCTGCTTCCAGGTGGAGTTTTATCCTCAGAGGCCCGATTTTGTGCACAAGAGTGAGCGTAGTGCAGGAAGAAAGGATCAGCTCATGCTCATAAAAGAACAAGCACGACCAGCATGGCTGACTAGAGCTTGTCTGCAAGGTCGTGGTGATGGAGGCTGTTTATTTAGTGCGTTGGAGAGACACTGCTGTGACTGCGTGTTGGGAATCGTCTGGCTGACTAGTTATGACACAAGTCGAGGCTCACCAGTCCGGTTCCCGATCGAAGTAGCCCCAGCAAACGCGGCATGAGCGCCTCCACTACTCCCGCATGATCCAGGTGTCTGCGCCAGGAAGGAGACGGCAGGGGGAAGCCAGACGGGGGGGGGGCGTACTCATTTGTTGCTTGCCGTAGTCATTTGACCATTGACCACGCGTCCCTTTCGAGACGGAGCACCGTTCCTACACCTACTAGAGACACCACCAACATTTGGGAGCTCTTTACGTTTCTGCCACAAACTCCATAAAAATTTCTTGCACATCTTATCCCCGTCCTCTAGGGTCTCTTGTGCCCACCATCTATCCCCAATTATCGCGATCGTTTTTTCGCTGTTGTCTAATTTACCAAACTTGTCCATGTCACACCCTCTCTGTCTCATTTCCTCTTCGAGATCCTCTCTTTCCTTCCTGTACAACTCACACTCCCCAACTATGTGGGGTCTACTCTCCTCCGATTTGCCACATGGACATGTGTGTCTATCCTCCTCTTCCTCTCTCCTACGGCTGGTATACCTCTTCCTCCGTTCTGGCAAGTCCAGATCGCCTACTCGAAATTGCAATTTCAGCTTTTTCGCATAGTCCATGGGGCCGTCCAAGTACTTCTTCATCCCTATCCCTTCTTTCAACTTCCCGTATATCTCCAAGTGGTCTTCGCTTCGTACCTTCTTCCGAAGGGTTGTCTCCTCCCTACTCTCTAGCATCTCCTTGACTTTCGTCTTGAACCCCCCGAACCCTTCCGTGTCCAACGTCTCCTCCTCGTCTCCTATCTCCTTCCAAACCTTCTCTACCACCTTGTCCCATCTGATTCCCTTCTTCCCTGGAGTCGCTTTTCCCCAAGCTGCCTCGTCAACCATGGCTGGTAGTCTATCGTCCGACATTCTACTTACCTTGTACTGCCACTTTCACTTCTGCATGTCTCTCTTTGTTTTAAGAAAGTAC